TCCAAGCATTAAACACCACTGATGGGCTGGTGGCATGAGGGATTGGGGTGAAGTAATCAGTCAATGTTGTCTTGCCTTTCTTCTGGTTTGTTCTTGGTACTGAGAAGTAGGATCCAAGTGTTATTTGGGCATTGAACCATACTTTCACCTGGATTTGTGGGTTATTTGCAATCTTCAATGTGGGACTAAAGAGGGTGGGTTTAGTAGCAGCCAGCCTGAGGAAGTCTATGATCATGGCCTTGGGGGTCCTAGTGGTGTAAAGGGAAAGGTCTGACCCTTCAATTTGGACATTGACAAGTGCAAGAAGAAATTTGTAGACAGTGCCAAAGAATTGGTTCTGATTGTCTTCAGCAGCTGCAGTGGATACTTCAGGGGATTGGGCTTCATAGCACAGGGAATTCCTATGTAACCTCTTGGCCACAGGGAGAGTTCTTGCTTTGACAGTGGGGCTTTGGCTAAAGATAGTTCTGCTTTGCTCAGTTTGAAGATAGAGTATGAGGTGATCTGGAAGACTTTGTCTAGGGGGATGGACTTGTCATATTCAGATAATGCATCATTGGAGAATTCTTCTAAGTCAAAGGTGTTGGTAAAGAGTGTTCTGCCTTTCTTGGGGTCTCTAGTTGGGGTTGTTCCTGTGGGAGGTCCTCTACTACCTCTCTTGGAGGATGTTGGGGTAGATGACATCTTGGAGTTCAGAGGAGTCTTGGAGTTAACTGGAACTATGGGTTGTGAAGACATTGAGAGGGTCAAGTATCAGCAGCCTTGGACGCCTACAGGGGCCTGAATCTTGGACACCAACAGGGGCCTGAACCTTGAACACCAACAGGGGCCTGATTGCTGCTGCACACCAAGATAGATCAAGGTGGTACACTTGGTCAATGACTTGAAGGGGCTTGGAGGTTGGTCTCAAAGATAAGGGCAAGAGACTTAGGGGAATGTTCCAGAGATATAAGGGGATGAAGACTTAGAGGAAGTGTTTCGGAGATATAAGGGACAGAAGACTTAGGGGAAGTGTTTCGAAGATATAAGGGACAGGAGATTTAGAAGGGGTGTTTCGAAGATTTAGGAGGTTGACTGTTGGTTGGATTGTTTGTTCAAGAGTTTGATGCTTGCCCGATTGTAATAGGATTTCAATGGGGGAGAGCTCCAAGGTCTTGAAGGGGCTTGGAGGTTAGTCTCAAAGATAAGGGCAAGAGACTTAGGGGGAATGTTCCAGAGATATAAGGGGATGAAGACTTAGAGGAAGTGTTTCGGAGATATAAGGGACAGAAGACTTAGGGGAAGTGTTTCGAAGATATAAGGGACAGGAGATTTAGAAGGGATGTTTCGAAGATTTAGGAGGTTGGCTGTTGGTTGGATTGTTGGTTCGAGAATTTGATGCTTGCCCGATTGTGGTAGGATTGCAATGAGGGAGAGCTCCAATATCTTGACGATGCAATTCAACAGCCGGTTGGTGGTCTCGGTCGGTTGGTGGTCTCGGTCGTCTTGTGTTGCCTTTCGAGAAACTCGTTGTTGCTGTGAGATCCAGTTCCTGACCCGTTTCTATGGTAATAAGCAGGGGTTGGGGACTGATTCTCGTAGCGACAAGTGGTGTCTTGATGGGGAGTAGTAGACAGTTGGTTGGTTGATCGGTTGGTGTTGGTGGTGGGTGTGATTGCGATTTTCGAAGATTGGTCGTGTGTAGAAACTGTACCAGGTTCTACGTGAAATGACTGGTATCTTCTGTTGCAGCAATCACTTGATCGTTCGGCCGTTCGGCCCCGTAGAGGACTTTCCGCTGTTGCTGAGAGGCTCCAATGGGACCGGCAGTGTTAATAAGCTTGTTGTTCTTGTCTGTTTGGTGTTTTCGAGCTACTGATGATAGTGTATCGATTCGGCCGTTGGCCATGGTCGATCCTTTTCGTTGGATCTGTTTTATGAGGTTTTGGTTGGTTGTGATTAGTTTTACGTAGGTTTCTACACGATTTGAGTACTGGGTCATAATAAAAGTCTTTTCGATAAAGCCAACGCTGGAATTATGGTATAGGGATGATGAATGGCGATGAAAATGATTAAACCATGATGAAATGTGATGAATGGTGATGAATTCATCACCAATGTGTTGAATGGTGATGAAAATGTTTAATTAGTAATGAATTCAATTCCAGATTTTCATGTTTCGCGGGACCTTCCTGGAAGGCCCCGTCATGCGACTTAAAGTCCCGGATCGGTCAAAGTCGCGTAGGATCGCTGAAAGTCGTTCACAAAGTCGCGTGCGAGTCGTGTGGGAGTCGCATGCGACTTTTGCACGACTTGCTAAACGACTTTCAGCGATCCTACGCGACTCTGTCACCTTGCTTATAGAAATCTTGCGAAAATCGCACGCGACTTTCATGCGACTCGCATGCGACTTTACATACGACTTTACATACGACGTTTATGCTGTGTGCGACTTTATGCTAATTTTTGGCGACCAGCAGTCGCGTGACCGGGCCTTCCTGGTATCGTACATGTACCGGTAGGCCAGCAAACTACATGTACCAGGTACCGGTACCGTACGGGGTCTCGGAGAAGGTGGATCTATGGTACTACCGGTACAGCGAGGGCCAGGTTAAAAAAAAGAGCAAAGAAGAGCAAAATCCAAGAGACCACAACATCTTGTCCTGTTGAGTGTGACAGGGATTCGATTCTGCCCCACAGGCGGCGAAAGAAAACATTGTTGGACCGTAGGTACCGTATAGCCACTTGACGACACGATCATGAATTGTAACATTAAAAATCAACATTTTTAGAGAGGTCTCCCTTCGTCCATGATCTGTTCTTGTGGCGGAATATGAAGTAGTACTGTGTGCAGTTTCCTTCGATCTCGCTTGATTCCAAAAATGTTGGAATTGGGTCGCTTTCCCACCGTGATATCGGCATAATGACCGCCACCAATGGCGGTTGCCGCAGTGGCGGTGGAAACTTTTCGTGGCAACAGCAAACCTTGCAAGTGTCGCAATTCCGAAGGAGGAGGAAAGTGACTGCGACCGGAAAATCCTTCTGTTTGAAGCACCACATCGGCGTGTCGGCGAAGGATCGTCTTGGCTTTTGTGCAAGTGGACTTCCAGGGCTGCAGACACACCAGAACTACCACGGGAACATGCTGCAGTCGGATTTGTGCCAGAAGTAACGGCAACACTTTGCACAGAATCTCTGGATCCAAATGATGGAGTAGCAACCGGATCACTGCCCGATTATTGCTGCGGCACTCCTGCAGCCGTGTGAGGATAGCTTGATATATCCGTCTACTAGGAAAAGGCTGATCCATAGATTGTTGTATTGGAAATGTGTGGAACAACTGCTCCAAATTTGGTTTCCCCATTCGTTCCAACTGTTGGCTGAGACGACCGGAAAGATCGTACGAGTGGCAGTAAATATTACTGGACTGGTTTTGCTGTGTTTGTTGCGTATTAATATTTTTGGAGGATCCCAACTCTGTAATCATGTCTCCTCCTTCTTCTTCGTCAAATTCATCCAGCTCTTCTTGATTGGGTGTTGCCTCCGTGAGAGGTGCCTCCCATGCCTTGACATCGTGCTCGTCCCCTTGTGCGGCATGCTGTTTATCCCAATGCAAGTTGCGCGGCAACGAATCACGTAGATTGTCAATATCGGATCGATTTCCAGTAGCAGAATCATCATCAGTCGACAGAAATGGGTTTGTGGACTCTTCTTCGAGAGCAGGCACTAGCAGGTGGTGATTCTGGGCCACGGCCTGAAACCAACACAATTGAGGAAAAACAAAAATCAATGAGACCATCGCCAGCACAACATATTTTCTAATGTTGAGATACACGTACATGTAGTACATACATACTTACCTCGGCACACCAATATCGAACAATGGTAGACGCAAGACTGTTGGTCCAACGATCTTCTTCTACCAGAATGGCGGATCCGAGAGGGTGACCACCTCCCAGAATCGCATCCAAATCACGCAAACCAGACGACGTTTGAGTGGCACCTCCAAAGCATGGCTTTGTGCCAGGGAGACCCACGAGGCTGGTCCTTTTGGCTGCTGATGCAGCAGTGGCCTTATTGGTAGTGCGACGCTTAAACGTGGTGGCCATGGTCGAATTATTATTGATCGAGCCACGTTTATCTGGTCGACAACAAAAGACGAGTTGTGCATCCATGGGTGTTTTAGGTTTTCTAAAAGATGGGCGGGGGCGGGAAGTGTTGCAGTGGATTTGCAGCTCATCGGGCTTATTCGCTTCCTGCCTCAAAGAGACAAAGATCGAGCGCGAATGACGATGGTCCACTCGATCATACAATAGTCTAATCGATCTTCGGCGGCATCCAGTTTTCTAGCTACACTACTATACCGAGAGACAACAACAACCATGTCAGAAGAAAACGAGGAATCCGACAACGTCATATGGAAGCACATTGGATTACACGGCCACTCGGTGGGCGCGTTTTCCTGTGAACCCAAAGCCATTGTTTGGAAGTCGGCCTTTTCGACTCGCGACGACAGCGTGAGCGGCACTACCAAGACCATTCCAGCCGTGGCACTCAAGGGAGCCTTGTGGTCCGTCTTTGGACGGTCAGGACATTTGCGCGTGCAAACCAAAACCAAACCGGATGGCACTCCCTATCAACGCGACCTCAAGCATGAGCTACGCTTTGATGGATTCAATACCAAAGACGTGGATATGCTCAAGAGTACCTTGAAGGAAAAGTACAATGTCGAATTGCATAAATATGGAATGAGCTCGGCGGGGACGCAGTACGGTCTCACCAAAATTCAAGGCAAAAATATCGTCTTTCGACATTGCATTTTAGAAGAAGCCGAAGAAGAGGGAGAGGAATTTGAACCAAGAGAAGGAGAGGAAATGATGTCATTGGACTTGACGGAGGTTTCTCAATGCGTATTGCCAGGAAACAATCGAAATGAAATTGAACTCCAATTCCCAGAATCAGATACGGTCGAGGCTGGAACGGATCAGCTGGGTAAGCAAGAACGAAAGAAAGAAGATGATCCATTTGTGTTTGCTCTGCCATGCATGATCTCACGTTGCCAATTGATGCATTTCTCCTGATTATTAATTGTCATTGTTACATATATAGTGGCAATCCGCTTTTATATTCCTCCCGATCCAGAGCAAGATCCTACAGACAAATCCATTCCCTACCCAGCAGAATTACTTCAGCAGAGAATCATGCAGACCGCCAGTATTCGCAAGACTACGGGGGATATTCTGGTCGAGTTTGAACAGTCCAAGGGAACCTTCCTGACGCCTCGTGGACGATATGCCATTGAACTATACGACTGGTTCTTGCGATTGAGAGGACAAAAGTACGATTACAAAATCAAATACGATGACATTAATCGATTGTTCCTGCTGCCAAAACCAGATGAAGTACACATGGCATTCGTCATTGCACTGGACAAACCCATTCGACAAGGGCAGCAACGCTACCAGTACCTTGTATTGCAAGCAACGAAAGATCCCGATGAAGTCACGGTCAACATGGACGAAGAAACGCTCAAGAAAGAGTACGGAGGCGAACTCCAGCCAGTCAGTAAGTCAATGCTTCATACAAAATATTTGGGATCTTCGTTGTTCGTTGCAAAATGTCCAGATTGCTCTTTCTATCCAACTAACTTTGGACCTATCTGTGTTTGCTTCTAAAGTGCGTGGATCCCTGTCGAACCTAGTGGCCAAGACATTCAAAGTCATTGCCAAGAAGAAGGTATTCATCCCAGGAAAGTTTGCCAATGCCAATCAACAAGCGTGTGTCAAGTGTGCTCTTCGAGCCAACGAAGGATTACTCTACCCTCTCGAGAAACAGTTTGTCTTTATCCACAAACCACCTGTTCTGATTCGGTTCAATGAGGTGGAGAGTGTTGAGTTTCAGGTATGGAATTATGGTGCCAGTTGTGTCTAGTTCGTCTTTGCTCTCCAGTCTCACACCTCCTGCTCCATCTCCCAGCGTTATGCCGGAGGACAAGGATCCACACGCAACTTTGACCTTTGTGTCAACCTCAAGGCGAGCGCTATCCCTTCGGCGGAAAAATCAAAAGAGTACACGTTCATGGGGATTGATCGCAGTGACTATACTGGGTTGTACAACTTTTTGTCGGGCAAGAAGATCAAGATTAAGAATTTGGAAGGTGTGGGAGCTGTCGAACCGCAGCGACAAGCACCAGTCTACAATGAAGATGAGATCTACGGCGGGCCTGATCCAGATGGCGAAGAAGAAAGTGAAGGTACGTGGGACACGCAGAGAAACAAATCACGATTGTTCGCGGCATTTCTAATCCGTGCTTGGAATGGGCTCTGTTGCTGCAGATGATGACTATGACGAGGCGGCGGCCGTTGCTGATGAACAGGCCATCAAGGAAGACAAGGAGAGCGACGAAGAGTCGATCGATGACGATGACTTTGGGGACGAAATTGATGATGAACTAGACTCTGACCTGGAGGAAGCTCGTAAGGGCGATGATGGTGGCAAAAAGAAGAAGAAAAAGAAAGCTAAAGAAGAGACTTCGCCGGAAAAATCACCCAAGAAGAAGTCATCCAAGGGCAAGAAGAAGAAGGCGGACAGTGACGATGACAGTGACGGGGACGACGACGAGGACGACTCTCCACGCCCAAAGAAAAAGGTGAAGAAAGCGAACAGCAAGGACCCGAATAAACCGAAAGGTAAAATGTCGAGCTACATGTACTATTCAAAGGATCATCGTGCCCGTATCCAAGAAGAAAATCCGGAAGCCACTTTTGGTGAAGTTGTAAGTTTTGTCTACATGCATTCTGGTTCTCTCACGGTTGCCAGGCATCCTTCTTATGGAATTCCTGCTTGTTGTGGTTGTGTTGACAATCATAGGCCAAGTTGCTGGGTCTTGCATTCAAGGCATTATCTGCAGAGGACAGGAAGAAATATGATGACATGGCAAAAGTTGACAAACAACGACATGCAGAGGAAATGAAGAACTACACACCTCCTGAAGGGTCTGGAGAAGGCAAGGGTGCAACGAAGGCAAAGGGTAGGTGGATCCGCTTCTTTGATCTTGCGCAGACTAAGTCTTTGTTTCGCTTTACAACTCACTCAATGGAACTCTCTGCCCTACCGTATGTCAAAGGAAAAGGAAAAGGAAAGAAGGACCCAAACGAGCCAAAACGGCCTATGACTGCATTCATGTTGTTTTCAAATGCCAATCGTCAACGAGTCAAGGAAGAAAACCCTGGAATTTCGTTTGGTGACATTGTAAGCAAGGGACCAACAAGTTGGCTGCAGTTGCTGTGATGTGTTTGTTTGGCATTTCTCACTTTCAATCACACACACTTGCTCTTGATGTAACAGGGTAGGAAAATGGGTGAGCTCTTCAAAGCACTGTCACCCGAAGAACGCGCCAAGTACGATGAGAAGAATGCCAAGGATAAGGAACGCTACAAGCGTGAGATGGACGCATATAAAGCAAAGGGCAAGGCTGATGCTGCAAAAGCAGCTGACGACGGGAGTGACAGTGATGGTTCAGACGACAGTGATGATTCAGACTAAGCAACTGGCCTCTAGTACTAGTAGGCTTTCTGTTTTGGCGTCAAAAGGAACGGCGAAGCAGGGACCAAAATCCAACAACCAAGCGTCGGCATCCAGCTGTGTATCGAGACGATCTGTGTTGTTGTTTGTTGGTTTACGATTTGTTGGTTTACGATTATAGGAGCAGTTACAAATTATGATTGAATCCTCGAACATGCGAATAAATAGAAAGTCCAGTACATCATTTTCAAACCGGACTGTTGTCCACACACTCAGCGCTCTCCACTGCTGCCTCATTGACGCCATCACTCTGGTTACTGTCTTCGGGCTTCTTTGAGCGCAGCTTTCGGTAGACAAAACCCACAGCACCGGTCAAGAGGAAGAAAAGAACGCCTCCAGCGGCAGCCCATTGCACATTGCCGTCACTGTCCGGCACTCCATAGTCAACTATAATCACTGGCTCCGACGTAGCAGAGGTCGGGACATAAGTGGGAACAGCTGCGTCGAGTTCATCGAGAATCACTTCTGAAGGAGTAGCAGTAGGAGCAAATGTTGTGTTCTCAGAGTACCAATACCAGTCTTCGACGATGATAGGCCCTGAAGGAGCAGATGTTGATTCATTTGTTGGAGAGTCCGTGCTCGGCGCAAGCGTACCGACGGGAGAGGCAGGGGCAAGACTTGGGGTCGAGCTTGGGGCCATGCTTGGCGAATCACTAGGAGGCCGCTCTGCCCACACACAGTTGGCCGCATCACACTCAAAAGTTCGACTGACCACATCGCTACACACATTTCGAGCCAAGAAGAGATCCTGCATCGTCGCGCCCCTTCCGGGTTGACTGCAGAAAGGAGTTTCATCGAGGAAGACTCGCACACTGCCAACAGATGCATCACCTTGTTCAGCCTTGCTGCGCACCGATCCCGAAGCAATCATTGAGCCGTATTCATTCAGGGCAACTGCTTGACCAAAACGAACCAAGGAAGCCACTCCTAGAATTTCCCCACTACGGTTGTATGCGAGTGTTACAGGGTCCATATCAAACACACGAATGTGGCCCTGTTGTCGGTTGTATCTGAGGCTCGTAGCAGCAAGACGGCCGCCATTGCGAGTGATAGCAACTGAGCCTCCAAAACGATCATCTTGCTCTTGCCCGTAAAAAACTTCATCATCCTGGATCCACGCAAAGCCATCAGCGGTGTTGCTCCAGCGGTAGGTCGTCAGACACCCCGCCTTTACTGCACCGGAATCAGAATTGCACTGAGGAGCCCCAACGACTAGAATTGGATGACCAAAAGTGCTCAAGTCCATGCCGAAGCCAAACTGATGACCTTCTTCGTTTCCTTTCATGTCTTGACCCATTCGTGCAACTTTTCCGGTCTTTGTGAACAGGCGAAATACCTGAACCAACCCTGTCTTCACAGAATGATTCGGGCTCGAGACAGCAATCGTCACGACATCCTGCTGACTGTTGCGGACTAGCGCAGCAGTTTCCCAACCGAATAGATTTCCAGTCTCGGCGGCAGGGTCTCGTGGTTCCCCTCTCAATGTACCGACACGAATCCATTCGCTGGCTCCAGCGTTCAATGAAAGCACATCGACTTTTCCTTGGCCTTTCTGGAAGGACTCGCAGCTGATTAGGAGAAAGTAGATGCTTGCGGTGGTGGTCGTCTGGCCCAATGAGAGTCCACGTCCCTTGCACGCCCCCACAGTTTCCGTAGGATGTAGATCCATCAACTCAAATTGCCCATTCTCAACGTTGTATCGAAAGACCTTCACTGTGGCGCCACTTCGAACAGCCAAGATATTTCCATCGTCAGACAGGGCAATGTTTTTGCCAATATCTTCGTCGGACGAGGTTCCAGCAAGGTCAAACTTCAAACTCCAGGTCGATTGAGTAACGTCACCCATGGCGGTAGAATCATCACGTTCGTAGACAAAGACTTGGCCATGATGGTAGTTCGACTGAGGTGGCGCTGCAACGGCCATGCGCTTGCCATCGTGAGAAAGACGGACGATGCCACCAAACTCGACATGCTGTTGATTGGTGGCTCCCTGAAGAGCTTGGCCTTCGAGTGTTTGACCAACTTGAGCAAAGGAATTCTCGGCGGAAGCAAAGTTCGTCAAAACGCTTGTCAAGAGGAGGACCGCTGAAACAAAAAGGCTGAGAGACAATTTCATGATAGGTGACAAAGTGCTCGGGAGAACGGAGTTACTTCTTGATATCTTTGTTTCTTGTTTTGGCAAGTCAGGATTTGTGAGAAGAGGATGTCGTCGCTTGTAGTCGATGCCGTTTGCGGAAACCAACGACTTTATCGACATCGTTTCGGGCCCGTTTTCGGAAACGACACCGTACTTTTCCGGTAACGATTGGTCATGACAGTTCTATTTTAAAACTAAAGAACGGTTTGTGGGTTGCAATGGTCGAGAAGGGCAAGAAAATCAACTCCCGCGGAGTTCTGCTTTAGCCTCATCCCTCCGCAAGGAGCTAGCTGGGACTGAACTTGAGTTGCGAAGTTCCAAAGAGACGAAATGACCGTGATGAAACTCCAAAGTTCTTCTGGAGCCACTGCGAATTACATGTATTCCATGCCCTACTGTACCGGTACCAGCACATGTACTGTACCTAGGTTCCCTAGCTACTGGTAGCTAGATGCTTTGCGAAGTGGGGGAAAATCGGAAGCCAAATAATGAAGGAGGGAGGGGGCCGGGCCATTCCAGTCCGAACCAGGGCAGGTTGCTACCGGTACATGTTGATCATAACGAATTGGCTGTGTTGCAACTGGTACTTCGCTCCATCTACTCTTCTCATACGTAGATCTATCGAGTGTGCTACAACCTAAGAAAAAAACCAAATGGGCAAGCCTTTTCTTTGCATTTTAAAGGCCACATAACAACATGTCAGTCACTTTTTAAACAATTTGTTGCACCCAGTGACTTGATGACTCCTTTCCGCCACTTCGAATTACAGCTTTTTTAAGCGATGGCTGCCACAGCTTTCACCGCGGCATCATCCAAATCGTCGGCTGTGATAAGTTTGAGTCCAGATTCTTCCAATAGTTTCTTTCCCGCTTCAACATTGGTTCCTTCCAATCTGACAATGACTGGAACTTTCATGTCAAGAGAACGAGAGGCTTCAATGATACCCGAGGCAATAGTATCGCACTTCATGATTCCACCAAAGATATTGACCAAGATGGCCTTGACGTGTTCATCGGCGGTAATGATTTCAAAGGCAGCCTTGATTTGATCGACGCTGGCAGATCCTCCCACGTCGAGGAAATTAGCGGGGCTACCTCCTCGAAGGGAAATAATGTCCATGGTGGACATGGCAAGCCCAGCACCATTGACCAAGCATCCAATATTCCCATCCAATCCAATATAATTCAAATCCCATTTTCCAGCGGCAACTTCTCGTGGATCTTCTTGAGTATGATCCGTCATTTCAAAAATATCCTTTTGTCTAAAACCGGCATTATCATCAAATCCAATCTTGGCGTCGGCTGCAATGAGATTTCCTTCGGTATCCTCGGCCAATGGATTGACTTCGACCATGGTACAGTCTCGATCGACAAAGAGGTTGTAGAGGGCCCGAATTTGTTCTCCGGCGGCGGCCTTGTCACCGGTAACTTCTAATCCATCGACAACCTTATTGATATCTTCATCGGTGGGTCCCTTGACGACGTCAATTGGTACTTTGATAACTTTTTCCGGAGACGACACGGCGAGATCTTCAATGGATGTTCCTCCCTCCGAACATGCAATGATCAAGGGGCCCTGTGAGGCTCGGTCCATGATAATGGAAAAGTACATTTCCCGTGCCAGTGCCATTTTCTTGGCCAACAAGACGGTATTCACGGGTTTTCCAGCCGGACCGGATTGTTTGGTGACCAACGTCCCACCCAACATTTTGGAGGCGTAGTCTTCCACGTCCGACGTGGGGATAATGTGCACACCACCCTGAAGGCCACTGGTAAATGTACCCAAGCCTCGGCCACCTGCCAAAATTTGAGACTTGATCACTACAGATTCGTCACCAATTTCCTTGGCAGCTGCCACGGCTTCTTCCACCGTATGAGCAGCAATACCAAACGGAACATTGACTCCGGCATCCTTCATGATCTGAGCCGATTGATATTCGTGCAGATTCAGATACCGAACGGCTCCAATCGAAGGAGCGTTCATGGCTCTGCGTGTGGCGGTACGGGCAAGCGAAGAGAGGATCATGTTGATATTTGTTGAGTTGATTGTGATAATGGCCGTTTAATAGATCGAGGAATGGTCTGTGCGATGGATGGTTGTTGATGTCCTTCTTCCTGTATGGTACTGTACATGCAATTCCTCCTGTAACAAGTGATGTGTGGATGGGCTGTGGGGTGGATGCTGCGTCCAGAAGATGTGACGATGCCGAGGGTTCTGGCAGTGCTTGGATTGCCGGCAGCTGCTAGAAGCGTAGTTGAGGTAAACCTAAGGTTATGATTAACATTTGCTATGAAATTTACGATGAATAATTATTTTACCACATCTACCTATTTACTGAATGTCTTCCGGGATGTCACGAAAGATTTCGGATCTTTCAGTCCCTTCGAGCATCATTCTTAGCCCGCTGAGCAGGCTGGAGATGATGAGGCACCGACCAAAGGCTTCAAAACTCCTCTGTCAATGGCAACAACGCATTGTTTCTTGCCCAGAATAAGTTGGTGCTCTCTTTGACCAAATTTTGGTGGATGCCTCTGCCCCTTTTTGTGCCATTGACTTAGGCTATCAACGAACTAGACTAGCTAGCCTTCTTTATATAGTAGCACTCAACAGGCAGTAAGACCTGGCGAACAGTAGTCTCAATGCTACCGTTCCACGAACACAAGATGGGACAAACGGACCAATGCCGTGAAATCCCAAGATTGCTTTTGTGGGCGCGGAAAGTGCACGAGTTGCTCAGCCTCTTGAAAGCATAATAATCCTGTTCAGGGGACAACAGAACAGCTTAGCTAAGTGTACAAACCATGGTAAAGCGCAAAGCCGTATCCAAGACGAGACTCAAGGCAACTCGTCGCAAGTCAGGACCGGCCTTCAAGGCCAAGACCGAAGGCAAACCTTCAGAGGTCCTGCTGAGTCAGTTGATGGAAAAATACCTCATGGATGAAGAATCAGGTGCTTCGTTCACTGATATCCTGAGTGGACTCGGTATGAACGATCGTAACACCGGTTGGCGTAAAGCGTGGCAAGGTTTGAACGACGATGGCCTCATCGAACAAGTGGAGAAAAAGAGTGCTTTTTACACCGGCGATTTTCGCTTGACTGAAAAAGGACGTGATGAAGCGTCCACGGACGAACTGAAACAAGTCATGAAGGCAGCGCATGGAACCAAAACCAAGACCAACGAGGATCTCCACAAGCGCATCAAAGGCAAGCTCATGAACCAGAGAGGCGAGCAGATCTTTGACCTTCTTCTCAAGCATGGAGCACTCAGTCGTAAGGAGCTGGCGAAGCATCTAAAGATCAGTGATACTGGCGCCTACTTTAGCTACGCTTTGAAGCAGCTCAAAGAACTTGGGTACGCCGAGGACGTTCCTGGAGAAGGTGGCAAAGGGAAGAAGGTGAAATTGACAAACGAATCGTTTGTGGACCCTCCAGTCCAAGAAGAGGCCCAATCCAAAGCCAAGATGAAGCCTGAAGGAAGTCCCGAAGTAGCCAAATCATCCCCCGATGATGCCAAAAGCTGCAAAGGTGAAGTTTCTATGAAGGCTAACTAGCTGGCTACGCTGTAGCTGGAGTGCAGTTGCCGGTGCATGGTCTGTATCCTAGGCAGTGAACAATGAGGACCCTTGTTGATGAGTGCTATGATACTGAGGTGGCTGAACAGTCGGAAGCCTACTATCAAGGAGACTCCTAGCGATACTATAAAGAAAGGACCAATGCTATTCTTGCGTAAAGTGATCCAAACTACTAAGATAGTAGACTGCTGGTACTGGTACGCACTGCGGGCACCTTTCTTTGAATCTTTTGAATGATTACGGACAGTTCAAAAGTCTACAATCTCGGGATTTGGTAGCAACCCATATAGATGTACCAATACCCTTCAATCCTTCTTGGCCAGAGCAGCAAAGGAAGCAGTCTTTTGCTTCTTCTTTTTGTTCCCTCCCCTTCCTCCAATGCGCTGTACTCCATACCTTGCATTTGGGCGCTTTTTCTTGGATTTGTCATTGCCATCGGAAGGTTTCTGTTTGGATTCCTTGGGGCTTGGTTTGGGCGGCTTTGATGATGGTGACTGCTGTGACGCTGCGCCCTTGGCAGGAGAGGCGTCTTTCTTATTGTTTGCCTCGTTGTCATTCTCCATGCTGGCTCTTTTATGTTGTTGTCTGGCTGCGTTGACATCTTGGAGCCACGTTGCCGTTTTGTCTTTCCATTCGCCATATTTAGAAAGCAGCTTGTTGACATTCTTTTTGCTCAGCATTGGTTCCTTTTCGATCTTGGATTGCTCCCCGTCATTTGGTTTCTTGTTCTTTTTGTCCACTTGTTTGGATTGGTCATGAGAAAGAATACTGCATATCATGGTGGAGGCAACAGGAGAACTCAATGGGCTGCTGGGGCCACTGCGATTGGAGATTGTCAAGTAGGAAGGTCCTGTGAGTACCTCATTATCGTCGTCTTCATAGAAAAGAGGGACTCGAATTTCGTGTAGCATTCCGGATTCTGACTGTTTAGTGATTTTAGCCAGAGTGCCTGATGAAAGCCGTTTCAAGGCACGCCACATGGGATTGGCAATGGGGAGGGGAGCAGTGTCCTCCAGTGAAATGCCATGCTCACTCACATGATCATCCAAAGACTCGGTTTTCACAGCAGGACCTTGGATGTAATGGTAGAAAGCACTGTCATTGGAATCATTGTCACTGTTCTTGGTTTGCCGTAGAAATGCTCCAAAAACCACTGATATGGATGAATTTAGTGCGTTTTCTTTGCCATTGTGGTTGTCATCATCATTTGCATCATTCCCATCGGAAGAAAATTGAGTCCGAAACAGCACCGTGACATCCAAGTAGATCAGGTCCATTTCTTGTTGGTCTCGAGACGACAAATCAGGCACTGAATCATCAATTTTGGATTCCTGAAAGAAACAAGAGGAATTCCCAGGATGCAAGAGCGGAGATCTCCAGTAGACTGGGAAGGAGACAGTGGAAGCATTGGTATTGGTCGCGGTTTCTGCAGGAGGTGGCAAGTTACTGATGGACAAATCGAGACAATCTTCTAGTTGCTTGGATCCACCCGCCAAGTTGGACGCCAGGAAAAGGCTAAACCGCTCCAGGTTGAACATACTCTTGTTGTCAGCGTTGCTGTCGTCGCTCATCTTGCTTTGACGAAGGTTTGGCTTTGCTGCATGTCTGCATGGTGTACCAATTTGCATGCGTGACGGTGTCGCATGGTCGCTGGCTTATTTGTCATGAGTTGGGCTCAAGTGGACGCACTTTAGAAGATCTTGGAAATCGATAGTCAAGATGGATGATTTGCTACAAAGAGCCTGACGGGAAAGACGGAGGCAGAATGGAACAAGACTGGGAATCACCGTAACAGTACCAGCCTTACGGACCGTATAGAGAGGACTATGGGTATCAGGATAGACCTTATTGGTACTGTATGGCAACTACGGTGGAGGAAGAGCATATGGATACACCAGCTACGGCAACTACGGTGGAGGAAGGGCGTTTGGATAGATACAACAGAGGAAGAGGAGGATACGTCAGGTATGGTTGGTAGAGACTAGTCTCTATCGTGACTTTAGAAATTGAGCTGTAAAGGAGATGGAGGACCAAGGCAGGGAGTAGTCTCCTCTTGTATGTTATCTGCGTCTGCGGCAGAATTCAATTGCAGTCGGAACCGGTGTCGAGGGAGAAACCAATCCTTCTTTCCCCTCTTTTTCTTGTTTGCACGCCCACAAGCTGGGAGAAGCTTCTGGCGGCAACACCAAGACCAATTGATGGCGGCCTTGATGAGAAGTAACATTGGGTCGGGATACAAATCAATCCCCGATGTTGGATCGACCTCGAACTGCAACAACTCACAGCTGTCAAGATCAAGGTCTTTCTTTGCTTTCGGAAGCCTGACGCCATCGTTCATCAAACTCTCTGTGGTGTCTTGAAATTGTACTACATGGTAGTCTTCGGTATTTAAAGGTCGTTGCAGATTGTCACTTTCTTCTCCTCCAGACTCCTCTGCCCTCTTCCGCGATTGGACTATAGATTTCTTAATGATGTGGCTGCGAGCCTTTTCACCCAAATCTTCCCCCTTCCCACGAAGAATTTCATTAGGTCTGACCCCAATGTGTCGTCAACCAAGGTTTCCGCCATTGCCAAAGTCATATGCCGGAGGTTTTCTGTTGCTCGGTCAAATTCTTCTTGCTTGCATTTTGACTTTTTCAAATATCCGGGAGGCACTTTTGCATGATCGAAATCTTTCGTATCGTACAGACATGTACACATCATACAGTCGTACGATGAGATCGCCAACCACGAAGTTGGCTAGCTACTACTAGCTACTCAGGGCGAAAAAGTTGAGAATTTTGAAAAAGGTGATAACTCCTCAGAATCAGCAGCAGGATTTTTGATGGTTTGGGTTAGGGTGATTGTAGAATTCTCAACTTGATCTTCGGATTTGTGTAGGAGCCAGTAGGTTTGAGAATTCTCAACTTTTTCGCCGGAGTAGCTAGGTTAATTTTAGTTTTTCGTCTGTCGTCGTAACGTTTTTAGGGTTATGGGTTAAGTGCAGGGTTAGGCCTAACCATTCTAGTAGCTTTAGCGTGGTGAGGTACGGTTCCGGGTCCAGGTACTAGAGTAGCTTTAGCTTGGTACTGTACGGACCAGGTCCCGATACTAGCAGCTCTAGCTTGGTAGGGTACGGTTCCGGGTCCTGGTATGGTAGTTTAGTAGAGCCATGGTACTTTGACTGGAACTGGGTATTAGGATGGAAGTTGGAGAAGATTTGAGAGAGTTTAGCATGGTGAGGTACGGTTCCGGGTCCGGGTACTAGTAGCTTTAGCTTGGTACAGTATGGTTCCAGGTCCGGATACTAGTAGCTCTAGCTTAGTAGGGTACGGTTCCGGGTCTAGGTACAGTAGTTTAAATAGCAGAGCCATGGTACTGTGACTGGAACTAGGTATTAGGATGGAAGTTGGAGAAGATTTGAGAGAGTTTAGCATGGTGAGGTACGGTTCCGGGTTCGGGTACTAGTAGCTTTAGCTTGGTACAGTAGGGTTCCAGGTACGGATACTAGTAGCTCTAGCTTTGTAGGGTACGGTTCCGGGTCGGTAGTTTAGCAGAGCCATGGTACTGCGACTAGAACTGGGTATTAGGATGGAAGTTGGAGAAGATCTGAGAGACGTGGTTGGCGCAACCGGAGGCCTCTTGTACAGCAACTTCCGTATTACGGAAACCACGAGCAACGGCCAAAACAGGGTAGGCTTCGCTTGGTTTCTAATTTCGAATTTTTTCAAGGGAGCATGCTGGAACCAAAATCTAACAGGGTCTTTTATCCAAAAAGTTCCCCGTGGAGAATGGGTGCGCGCAGATTGTTATACTTCGAATCTGCCAATCCCTTGGCTATTTTTTCCAATCGATGGACTTTTGACTTTTGTAGACTCAAAACCGACAAATTTAAGGGGTGATGTTGAAGCTTTCAAGGGGTACAGGGTGAAAGCGGTAGAAGGCAGTAATGTGATTGGCTAATCAAGCTAATACATCAGCAAATACGTCAGCAAAGATTCAAATATACTTAACGTACCATTTATAGATATTACGGAGTTAATATGCTACCAAATGGTGGATTTCTTCTTTCGCGAAAACCGAAAGAAGGATTCCTTCGATCGTTGATCGACAATGATATGCATGCTGGGACGTCGACATGCATGCTTCTGCCGCTCCCTTCAACTCGACAGTCATTATCTCAGCCAAGCAGCACCATCATGACCATAACAACAGCAGCAGTAACAGCAGCAGCAACAACACAAAATGGAGGAATGGGTTGCCAAAGCCAGAATAGAAACTCCCAGCAGAAGAGAGCTTATGAACTCGCCAAATTGAACAACAACAATAACAGATCCAAGAGAGCAAGAGAAGACGGAGCCCAAACAACAGTGGAAGGAGTGGTAGCAGAAGTCTTTGATCCGTTGAAGAAGTGTGTCATCTGTAAGGCCAGACATCTTGGTCTCAGAATCCCAAAAAGATCACACCATGTTCTCTGTATTAAGAATACAGTAACAAGAGGAAGAGGTGATTTGAATGAGCTGACAATGGAAACCATCAGAGAGAGCAGAAGACTCACAAGGCACTTCAGTGCTCCTCTTCCACTGAATGAGAGAGGAAGCTGGAAGCATTCCACAAGAGAGAATGGAGATGCCTTCTTCGCTGCTAGAACAAACACAACCAATTCGAGCCGGCAACAGAAGACATCCACAAGGAACACAACCAGCACAACTCCACTAGCTCTCTGTCGAAAGGTCACCACTCTTGTGAAGGATAATGCCTTTGTCGAAAAGCACAAGACCAAAGGAGCACCGCTGGCTATGCTAGCACTAGCAGAAGCTGTGTCAGAATCCATTATCCGGCCAAGGAATCCACAATTCCACCAACATTTTGAAGGACTCACCATGACAGTTCCATCCACAGAGGAGCAATTCAAGTCTCCACACTATCACTCTATTGTTGGCCAGAAACTCCTCCTGGTGGACTGGAATCGATGTGGAATTACAGTCCCTTGTCCCGATGGAAGATGCTCTGGCCAACTCAAGAATGCGAGGCATAACTGGTCAAAGAACAAGACCTTGTTCCCTATCTTTGGCATCACTGGAGCTCCATCTTGGTGCATTGTCATGTCAATGAAGTGTGACTGCTGCAGCAGGGTATTCAATGCCAATAGTGCTGAAGTCTTGTGCACAATCCCACAGCATGCTGCTCTACTTTATCCTGTGGAGTCAAAGTATGCCCTTCCAAACAAGGCATGTCACTTAGACAGAACTGCCACAGAGACTTTCGAATCCATCATGTTGACCTATGGCAATGGAGAACTCTGCAGCCGCCTAATCTACAATGCAATCAACAGAGACTTCATTAGGTCCATGACGTCATACTTATCCTATTGGGAAGGAAGTCAAACGGAACCAGATCCCTTTCTTCAAAAGGATGGCACTTACATACGACAGTTTCCTCCTCTTGGTGACACCATCCGTGACATCTATGATGCTGCTTGTGCTTCAAACAGGAATCCGTGGAGGATCAGTGACAACCAAAGACACACAAGAGAGATCCAAAGTGTCAAGTGCAACAAAGGAATCTTCTGCCAAGACCATACCTTTCAGGTGGTGAAGAACTACTCCAAGAGTCTTGGTGCTGGTGCTGTTTGGGATGCTGCCACTGAAACAGGAGAGATTGCCTCTGCTGTTCTTGTTCCCACTACCAAGACAATCCACTTCTCCCATGCTGCCATGCAGCTAGCAAGGAGGAGCCACTTCAACCCAGCTGCCATGTACAGCGACACATGGCCAAACAAGGATGACTACTGGGAGATACTCTTTCCAGGAATCGAGGGAAGGCTAGGCCTGTTTCATTATGAGAACATCTAAGAAGCGCATTTTGGGCAAAGTGGATATTATGGGGAAGGTGCACAAAACGCTGGATCAAATTTTAGCGACTCATTTATGTGGGTCCCTTATCATGTCGAAGGGCATTATTTTACCCACATTTCTGCGAACTGTTTCTGCAACAACCAAAGACATTTCTGCTCAGCCCTGCTTTTTATTGCCCTCTCCTACTAAATGGTACTGTTCTCTGAGCTAATAACTAAGTTAACGATTATCTAGTTGTAAACTGCTTTGTCATTGTTGTCGTAGTCATTTCACTTGGGCAAAGTAATGACGGATAATGTAGGTATGGTTGTGTCGGCTTGTGCACGGGATCTTTGGCGTCTGCATGCAATTTCAGCGCCATTGGTAAAATTCTGTGATGCCCCTTGCGGCTTGTGCTCACTATTTGTATCACTTGCGCAAAATGTCCGGGGACTCCGGCAAAGCTACGTGCCGTCCTATCACTTACCCAAGCTCACTTTTTGGAGGCATTTTCGCCAAATATCCACGCACTGGCATAAAGGGGCGTACCGCCAGATCTCTGTACGGAGCACACTTTTTCGACGCACTTCCACAAAATATGACGGACTCGCAGGGACATTATGTTTGTTCATTTGGGCAATAGAGCTGTGAACGAGTACATGATTTGGCGTA